AGCAGCGCCCACCTCCTCCCTGGCAGCACTGAACCACCTCCCGCTCTGAAGGGAAGGAGACCCCAACTCTCCTTTCTCTTCCCTGCCAGGGGACAGGAGCACCAGGGCCTTTCTCCCTGCCCAGAACCTCAGCTCCGCCGGGCACAACAGCCCAGCCTTCACTCCTATAGATGTGTCTCTTTGCCCCCTACCCCCTCCAGGCCTTCAGGAGCTACCCAAAATGGGGACCACCATCCTGCCTTGCAACCTCAGACCTTACCTCAGCTGCTCCAGGGCCAGAACCACCTTGAGGGGCACTGGGGAGACAGGAATGCCCGAGTAGTATTTCTTCAGCAGGTCCTGAAAGTCCCAGAGAGACACTGTCAAGGTGGGCAGGGGGCACATGAGAGCTGTTCCACCCAGCCCCGAGACAGGCACAACTGCCACACACCAGCCCCATCACTCCCATGTTTCCCATGGAAGCACTGCAGGATGCAGCAGCTCGACAGCTGGTGCACCTAGCCCGCTGCCCAGCAGCAGCCTCCAGCACCCAAAGTCCCCACCAGCTGGAGACGTGTGGCTGATGGAGACCTGTGTGCCCCCAGGGAAGTGGGCCGCGTGGCGCAGCCCAGAACTCTGCAGGCAGCCCTGCCTCTAGGCACTCACCATCAGGATCTCCAGAAGCTTTCCCTTCAAGGAGGGATTCAAGCATGCAGAATCACCCACGACTGCTTGGAAGGCAGAGCTGAAGTCGGTGATGCTCTGCACCAGTGCGAGGTTGTTCTGCAGGTCCTGAGGCCCAAGAGAGAAGAACATTCTTTGAACTGCGGGATGGGACAAGGGCTGCAAGGGGGACACGTGGAGGCAACGCTAAGGGAAGGGCTTGGGTCTTCATCTGGGCACAAACCATTCCCCAAGGGACCTTTGGAAAGGGAAGGCCTCTCTCAGCATCCCCCCTTGTGGAGGGGCTGCAGCTGGGCGCTCAGACACCCTGGCACGCTTTGACTCTCACCCGGCAGCTGCAGCTGTAGAGCATCAGGATGTTGCCCACGATGTCTCCCTCCAGGTGGGCGAGCAGCTGTTCCTTGGAGGCACGCAGTGCCAAGCTGCCGTGGGCGAGCACGAGAGCGCTGCGTGTGGCCTGAGCTCTCGTGCTGTCCAGCTCCATCTGTGTGGGAAGAAATGCCTTGAGACACTCGCTCAACGGCCCCCAGTGCCCCGCGATGCACCTGGGCTCCAGGGCAGAAAATAAGGCAGAAGAATGCGAAGATGGAAACCCGTAACGCTTTACCTTCTTGCGCCT